GAAATGGGGACAAAAACACCCGGATGCATACTTCGATGGTACCAGTATTGTAACAGGTTTTGGGGATAGGGACATCGATACCCGTATGTTTGGGCGAAAAGGCTCCCAAGAAAATGAAGGATGCAACTCCTCCGCCAAATCTCAGTATTATCTAAAACAGAATAGCCCACAGGATCCATCAGAGTCTGCTGCATGCTGTGGGCATGATCGCATTCCAATACGTGGAGTATTGCATGAGGAGTAGCTTCCTTCATTTTGCAAGTAGCATATATTTTATGAGTTTCATCTCTTCAACACCAAGTAACCAAAAACGAAGTTCGACTGTATTCTTTTACAGAATGCAATAATAACTTGATCTGGAAATGGCAAGTTGGACTACAGTGGTACTTCGAATATGGCTATGGATACCGATATGATTGGCTTATTTAGACCAATCCTTAGTTTGGCCCAAACGTTCGCAGATATGATTGGATAGATTTGCAGAAATTCGGTAGTATAAGAAAGGCCCAACGGCCATGGCGTTCACTGCACTCGCAGTATTTTTATTGTCATTGAGAATAGTATTTGGACGATTTTAATTCAAAGGTGCAATCAAAGCAATAGGAAATCTCAGCGGCATTTCAATACAAACCACAAGTAAGATAGACTTGAAATTTGGAGCTAATTTGTTTCAAACTAACATGAAGTACTTCCCCAAAATTTTATCAAAATTGGAGTAGTATTGATGAAGTTACGAAAATTCGGGAGCCTTTTCACCCAAACGTACGATATAGGGCCGTTGGAGATGCTCTAATACTGTATTAGTACCTTATACTGTACTGTAGTGTCAAAGCTTGTCCTTTACAGTACAGTACTGTTCTGTACTACTAGTACTACGTAGTAGTAATCATTAACTGTAAGATGCAGTATCAAATCTGGTCCTTCTAATACTCCTTCTAGTACTAGACAAAGTACTGGCATCATGCTCTCATTGGATGTACCAGTCCTTCATTTGAATGCAAGGTTAAGTGAAAATTTCACCATTCTGTACAACCATGTGGAGTACGTACTTCACTTGATTAATTGATTAGCATATATTACGTCGTACAATCTACTGTACGTGTACAGTACTATGTACTGTACTCTACAGGATATCAGTCAAATCAGTCTATTGTTGATTAATTATATTCCCCACACTTGCATTTGAACTGTGATTACTAACTATGGTCATAAATAGTGCATTGAATATCTTGAGATAGCTTAGAGTGGTCGAAAGCATCCACGACCCTTTTTGTGCTTGTATTTGAAATTCTTAGAAAATATATATGAAATTCAGTAGGCATTCGTAGTTTTCCTCAGTGTACCATTAAAATACCTTGATTCACATTACTTTCGAGTAATGGTCGAAATACCTTGCAAATGTCGCATGAAAAACTCGCATAACATTATATATTGTAAGCTTGAGTTGCAACGGTTACATAATTATTTAAAATAGTCAAATCAAATACAGAACTTAAGTGTAAAATAATGCTTCATTAAAATTAGAACTGTAAGAACATATTAATATTTTTAATAAAATAGAAAGGGTCGTGGATGGTCTCGACCACTGTTAATATGACGCATTTTGACGGTTACGTTGAACTTGAGTAAAGTATGCATTGATTATTTTAACGCATTCGGCGGTTACCTTGACTTGATTAAGGTATGCGTGCGCAGATTGTATACCGCTTACGCTTTGGGCGCAGTCTCCTCTAGTGTTCATCATACCCTTCTAGT